ACACTTCCAGTTTTTCTTTTTTCTGTGTCGTATTTATTTGAAAGTCTGTAAGATCCTGAAGCGGGTGCAGCTGTGTAGTCCTCCAGGAAGGTTAATTCTTCTGACTACAATCCATCAAACAAAATGTCACATACAAAGGAGCAAAAACCTAATCTGGTGAAGGGATTTTCCATTCTGTACAACAGTTAGAGTCATAGGTTAACCAAAGAACTGTCACTGTGACTGTGGGACATCCTGTCATGACTGCTTTTTTCTGACTGAGTGGTGCCACAGTTAACCTTCAGCACACCATACTGACAGAGCCCTCTAACACCCACAGGCTCAATTACTCCACAGTTTCACTTTGTATTGCTTTATTCCTTTAAAGTCACAGCCTTCACCGAAACCTCAGGTTCGATGAGTTGCGTTGTTTGGATCGCAACACACGGGACAGAAAAGGTCAGCATGATGGCTACGTGTGCACGCCGAATTCTCCTTTGCACTTATGCTGATGAACTCTAACGTGCTCTGATGTTGCCCCTGGGGTCCCGGTCTTGGTCACCGCACATATGCACATATGCACATATGCACACATGCACACACTTAAATTGACACAGAAGAGAACAGCGCTCACCCAGGGGTGCGCAGAAGCACCAAGCTTATGTAAGAGTATTATTTTTCTTTCCTTAGGGTTGCTGGCGTTGACTTACTTGGTACCCTCACTCAAAGCTTAGCACCCTTTTCCCCTTCCATTATCCTGAACGTCCGCAGTTCAGTGTCAGTAGCATCACTCAGACACTTCAGGCTGTGACAGCTGGGAGCGTTATGATCAATCCTGGCTGGCTTGTGTGAACGTGGTTTTAAATTTTTAAATCTTCTCTGTAAAGTGATCTATGGTAGGAACGACCAGAAAAAGGAGCTGGTAGAGCAGACAGAGGGTCTCGATGGACATGCAAAAGCAAGAGAACTATCATTACATGCAGTGCTGGTAGGTTAACCAGTCCTCCAGTGCCCTGTTCAATGTCATTGTCATCAAGTCTGCCCTAAATTTGCTAAAACGTCCTCAGCAGGGTTCAGCGTCCCTGTCCTCATTAAGAAATGCACAACAACTGTAGCACACAAACTGAGATAAAAAATGCATAAAACACTAATATTTTCCCTTTATTTGTATTCAGAATAATCATGTAATAACTTTATTGATATTGGAAGACATAAATATTAGTATAGATTTTCTAACGCTGGGCAATTTTTGGAGAGCGCTTCTTATCAAAGCGCTACATCCTCGTCTTAACGATAACACATTCCCAGACAGGCAGGAAGTTCGTGGCAGTTAGCGAGCTGATATTGCTTACTCATTCAAAAAGGGCAAAAGTGGATCCATAAATCATAAAGTGAATTTGAAGACGACGTCTCTTGTTCGTGTCAACGTCGATGCAGTGAGTTTGAAAGGGGAGGAGGCAGCGCAGTCATAAAATCCTCTCTCAAGGTTGTGTGGGTTGTATGTGGGAGGCTGCTGCGGCCTTGATTCTGAGGTTGTGTGAGGAAATAATTTTTTTTTTAAAAAAGTCAATTTTTTTTCTTATTATATTCCCTCCATCTATGGAAATTCATTTGTCTTCCACCTTTTGTGCGCCTGAAGAAAAAAAAAGGGGAAAAAAGGAGGAGAGAAGCCTGAAGCCACCCATGTGTTCCTGCAACTTCACAGTGACTCAGTGTTTGACTACAGGAGGAGGTTTTTATTTTATAGACGTGCTGCTTCTGCAGTTTCTGCCTGTTTATTTTTTTTAAACCATCCCATCATTTGAAGGCCCTCGCTCATATTCAGTTCATCTGAAATGCCTAGAAGTCAAAACAGAAGTGAGTAAGCAGTGATGCTTCAACACCACTGCAAACTTTCTGACTTCACAAATGTCACTTTCGGCTCTTTGGCAGCGACTGGCCTGTTAGCATGTTGTGAGACTCGTCATGAATAAGCAGTCACCCTGAAACTATCGCTCATGTTCTGGTTTAATTCAGTCTGTCCTTGTAACGCTCCCTTCTGCATGTTTCAAACTCTACCAGCAAATAAATATCAGTTTTAAGTTGTCACCACTTTGAAGTTATGCAGTCCATCTATTAGCTTCTTACTTACCTCATCCTTCATCCTGTAGCTGTTATCTTACCTAAGACCTCCATTCGTTCACTTTCCAGTGTGGCCAACAGTTCTGGCATGAGGTTGCTTCCCTGTTTGCACTCAGCAGAGACCAATAAGAGAAAGAACATGCTTTTCATATTCTCTGTAATCCCTCTTCCCCAAATCTTTCTCTCCTTAAGTGACATCTCCTTTCTCTAACCTCTCCATTATCCAGCTCCATCTTTTTATTCTGCTCTGTTTGTCTGATGGCAGTCCAGGGCTCAGAGACTGAATGAGCCATTTTGAAATGTGGACACTGTTATGTCCTTCCTTTATTTCCTTTCCTGGCTGTTCACTGAACCTTATCTGAAAGCACTGGATTTGCATCTGATGCATTTCTTTAAAAAAAGAAAAACAAGAAAAAATGACATATATGAATATATTGTATCGATGCTGGTTATACTAGGCTGAGAAAAAACACCTATAAAATTACTTTTCAGATAGGGAACAGAAGAAAATGCTGTTTGCTGTAAAGAATCATTAAAGACTGGATATAAAAGATGGACATGGCTCCAGTTGTGGTTATTCCAACTTTTCCTATTTCTGAGATGATTTTCTTTCTACAAGCTATAGCTGAAATAAAAAAACAAACAAAAATCTATTTTACTTTAATGTAAAATATTATTATATTTAAAAAAATGAATTGAACTTTAAAATACTGCACAGGATTTTTCAAAATAAAGTGCTCTGCTACTAGAAAGAGGTGCAAATAAGAAATAAATGGAAATAAATTTTACCTGATGGTGGTTCCGAAAATTTGACCTAAACAAACAGAAGCAAATGCAACACATTTATGTAACAGAACAAATTTCAGACTCGTTTTGACCAGTAATGAGACAATGACCTTCTTTGTTTTCTAAAAATGCTTTGATCCTGTCAGTGCTTATACCGAGGCTCACACCAAGGCTCCTGGCTTTTGGTTGTCTCTGAACTCTGGTTGGATTTAGCTTTAGCTACTTTTCCCCTTTTAGCGTCTTTAAAATGTCTCTATTTACCCAGATGAGGGGATTAGGCGTCTGGTTAGGTTTGTCATTATAAACATTTTCCCGCTAACACTTTTTTTATCTCAACTCAGAGTGAAGAGCTTTTGTGCTAACAACATATTAGCATATAGCTGTGAGTGTGATCTGGGCCGATTAACAATCAGCCAATCTCAGACCTCGGCAGGTAGATCGGGACGCCTTCAGTGCCTAATGAATTTTTTTGATTTCTCTGTCAGGTCCACTTGTCACTCTAAAGCTGGTGACGTCCAAAATGCTGATCTTGAGGCAATAAACTAAATGACTGTTGTCATGGTAGTACGTGTGTCTTTTAAATACAGTCTGTAGGGTGCACCAATCTGAAACACTGGATTAGTTTTTTTCAGTCATGTCATAACATCATTCATGTATGGATAACTGGACAGATAACTGAGAGAAAAGATTACAGGATTTGATTTCCTCTCTCTTCTGGTATAAAGGCCAAAGATGACTCCCCCAGGTGGTTCTGAAAGTGTTTGCCACTGCAACACTAGAATAAAGTCAGTCAGCAGCTGCACTTTTCTTCTGATACGTTGTAGTTTTAGCAGCTAAAACTACTCAGTATTATATTGGCAGGAGATGAAGAATGCCTCTCTCTTTTTTCTCCTTAAGCCTTTTCCTGCTGTAGAGGAACACCACTTGGATTCCTGCTTTGCTGCTACAAGTAAAAATGCCATTTTAAGACTTTCCACAGCTGGCAATTTCTCCATTGAGAACAGGTGCTGCTGTTTCAACAGGTGATGCTACATTATCTCACCAAGAATCCTTTCTGGGGCTTGCGGTTAACTTTAAAAATGGATTTTAAAGTATAAATGACTGTTTTCAGCTTTGCCTCCGAGCAAAAAGCCCATGTGGGAGCTGCTGTAGCTACAACATCTTAAATCAGTTTACAAACACACTTTTTATTGACTTTTATTTTGCTTCCTTTTGGTCCTTTTTTTCAATTTTTTACGACTTTTGTTTCTTTTTGTGTGTGTTGTCCTTCATTTTATTGCCGTTCTATATTACATTACGTTACACAGGGGATGTGCCTTCAGCATGTTCATCAAAGCAATGTTAGTTACTAATAGATACTAATAAAATCAAATTTACTATCACTGTATCACACAGAGGCTAGGAATGCTATCCCGCTTCATGCTAGTTGCAAAGTGATGGTTGAGGAAGGCTGAAAACATTTCTCAGAGGAGACGTTATCTCACTCTTCTAGAAGCAACGCCTCCACTGTCTGCCATCACACGCACACGAAAACCCACACATACTGTACATGCATTCGCACAAACTCACGCACTTCACGCAGACACGTGAACACAAACACAACACAGCATACCCTTGTGTCACTACAGAACTCCACAGGGAAATGACAGTAAATTCACTTAAAGTCCTCCATGTAATAAAAGTCACCTCGGGGAAATTGGATCTCAGTTAGATGATTTATGGTCACCATGGCTGCAAATTTTAAAAAATGCCACACACAAACACACACACACCGGCACAAAGCATGAATTAACTAAAGAGAAAAGAGCTGATACAGCCGTACATCATGAAGTCGAATGATTTTTCACAGCTAATTACGCTGCGGCCCTACTTACTCAATAAAATCTGAATATGAACAAACTTCCAGCGTAGCTGCACACGAGTACAGTTCTGCTTGATCCAAATGGAAACGTTCACGGTCGTTCTGAACCACCAGGTGAAGCATGAATATAAAGGTGAGCGTCACTGAGGTGGTTCGCCATTGTGATGTTCACTGTCACATGAGGTTCACGTAAATCTGATAACACCAAGCTTACTGACCAGCCAAGAGGCAGTCTGGCTTCTGAAGGTATTTGACTGCCATTTCTGCTCCTCTGGACGCTCTCTGTGCCTCACTTCAGCTCAGCTTTTCTTTTATTAATATCATGCTAGCCATTTTTTATGCTCTCTAAACCAGATTATGTGTTATTAAGTCGCTCTCGAGATGGTGTGGTCTTTTCTATTTGATATATTGAAATACGCCATTGCCTGTAACGTGCTGCATAAAACTCATTTGCAGTTAAATAATACTCAGAGGAAGCCCTCTGGTTGCAATTCCTCAGCAGTGATTCTTAGATGAAATGCGAAGCTGCACGGGCTGATGATGTGTGTCATGTTTTCCTACTTTGAAAGAGATTTGGGTAAATCTTGGACACTGTATCCGTGGAAACACATGAATATTTAAAAGGAAGATATTGATATGCAGGAATAATGCGGCTCCCTCACGGCCGATTCATCAGTAGGCGCCTGAAGAGGAAAAACATTGTTTCTTTTTGGTAAAATAGAAACTGCAAACTAACCTTTCTGTATCCTCTCTTTTTTTCATGTGTGTGCTCGATCTGACCGCTTGCCAGGTTGCAGAGCAGCTAATGACGATTGCCTACGATAGTGGAGTCAACTTGTTTGACACAGCTGAGGTGTACGCGGGCGGCAGGTGGGTGATACACAGACCAGTGTTTTTGTGTAATGGGCTGCAGATGTCCGGCCTCGCTGTCACCAAAGTGCTCTTACTATAATATTCTCTAAACTGTTAGAAACTATGTCACATTTAGTGTGATTATTCATGAGCTTTAAAGTCCAGACATTATTCATTCAAAATTGTAGGTTTCTGTTCAGGATTGTAGCAATGTTTGAAATTTCTTGCATGTGTCTGTTCTTTGCTTTTCTCAACCACTGTTACCGTCTCATCTGTGAGGTCTTTTTATTTGTGACCTCACAGATGAAAGTGTATGTCAGAGACCTCATAATGCAACGGCAAGCACTGCAGTTCCAATAAAAAGACTTCTACTAGCAGGAAGTAGTATAATACGTTTTTGAAGACCCTTTTATTACGCCGTCCAACTGCCTGGTTCATAAACAACCGGTTTGCGTGCGGGCCTCTCTTGTTCCTCACTGTACTGTGGGCCGATACTGTGGAAGGAATGTTTATGATTTCAAAGTGCGATTTAATAACAACGCTTTGTTTATATTGCCTCGCAGGGCCGAAATCATTCTAGGAAACATCATCAAGAAGAAATGCTGGAGGTATGATTGCTCCAATACTTCTGCCTGAGAGAGAAACATGAAGAAGGATGATCTGTGTGTGTGTGTGTGTGTGTGTGTGTGTGTGTGTTGCAGATGAAAGATGCATGAAACTGTGTTTTGGGTTTTGTTTTCTTTTCCAGTGAGGAATTGTGCTTTTGTCTCAAAGGAAAAAAAGGAAAAAAGAACTTTTATTAGTATTAATTCCTGCCTTATTGTCATAGTTTTGTTTTTCTTTTATTAAATGAAGTTAAATGTCTAGTTCATGGACAATACAGACACAATACAGCAGCCTGAAATAGCTTCCACATGAAAGTCTGCCTGCAGGCATTTTTTCCACAAATTTAAATATTCTTTTTATGGACTTATTTAAACATGCTCATTTTTTTATTATTGATCGGCTCTGTAGGAGACGGGGAGAAGAGGAGTTACAGTAACATCAAAAGAAGCTCAAATATTGCACATTTATACGTCTGAGTGCAAAAGAAGCTGCACAAAAAGTCGCATTTTCAGATCATAGTGAAGGGATTCTGTGGGATCACCGCGTGTTTGATATGAAGCCATAACCTTAACCGAATTTGTCTTAGAACAACAGGATGTGATAAGTGATGGAGTTTCCATGCAACAATAACGCTTGCCACTCTATTAAATGAAGCTATGGAAACATGTATTTGCTAATCATTAGGTGGATTAGGCAGATCAGTGTCATGCACTGAGCTGCCTACACCAGTCTGTGAGTGCTGTCATGACAAATGGAAAGAACAAGCGCTCTACTTTACACTTCTTGGTCATATGTTGAGAATTCAGTGCCGGTAGCACTGAATAATAACTATAAAAAGCTGCAGGGCATTTATTGATTTGTCCCATGTGACTAAAGTCTGCAAACACTCTCACAGCTCCTGCATTTAATTTGCAAATCTAATGCGGTGAAACCAGAAATCGTGTTTGCTTTTGCTGCCGTGTGAGATGCTGTAGAGTTTAATGATTTCACACAGCGCCAGATGTGAAATGACAAGGATGTCATCAAAACTCTTAAGCAAGACGGGCGTAGCATTTTCCCACCTGTTGCGTGGATAGCTCATTAGTCCGACAGTGTGACTAAACATTGAGGAACAACAAGACTGTGCTTTTGAATAAACAACTTAGCAAGGAGGGATGAATTAAAAATGGGAAAATAGCTGTAACAGACATGGTAGTGAGGAAAGCTACAATGTAATTAGTCTTTTTTATAATACAGTCTTATATATATAATACAGAGAAACCCCCAACAATCAGATGACCCCTATGAACAAGCACTGGTCACAGTGGGAAGGAAAAACTCCCTTTTAACAGGAAGAAACCTCTGGCAGCAAGACAGAACAAAGGACACGTTATTACAATACAGCACATTGCACTAAATTTGCCTTATCCCGCTTTCTCTTTGCTTTCTAGGAGATCCAGCTTGGTCATTACAACTAAACTGTACTGGGGAGGAAAGTAAGTAAGAAACCCTGCAAACTCTTCACTTCCATGATATGAACTGTAATATTTTTTTAGGTTGTGTTGCTCACAAATTCTCAGTAATGTATTATCTGTTTGCAAAAAAACCCTTGCATTGCACTTCTTTCATGTGAAACATTTGCAAAGCCCTTTTTAAATCCTGCATTGTTTACACGAAGGTTGGTATCCGTCTTCTTCTTCTTCCTTTTCCTTTTACAACAAAAATAAAATACAAATAAAATAAAAATATGTCCTCGTGCATCTGCGCTCGCAATACAAGCAAAACAGGGACCATCTGACAAAAAGATAGTAGTATTTGAAGATACCTCGAGGATCTTGGGGTAAATTTGCAAACGTGAAACGATTTTTTTTCTGGGTCACAGAAATAAAATATTCACAAAAATCATTAAAAAAACCCACCTAACTTTGTTCAGATAAATAACAATAAAGCATGTATTTTAGTTAAGTCACTCAAAATCATACAAAAGACAATATTTTCTCCTTTTGTCTCTGCTACATTTATCATTATTTATCCTTAATGTCTTTCAAAGCATTCAAACTTTTGCCTCTCTGCACCAAAGAAAGTTTCCTCGTGTTTTCGTGTGTCCATTTATCTCCGTTAACAACCTGAACGGCAACATGTCACGTAAAGTAACAACCAATGGGAGAACCTTCTGCTGAGACTGCAGAGAGAGAGAGGAGAGGGGATAAAGAAATCTACTTTATAGCACACACATCCAAAACACACACACACACACACAGAAAAGAAAGAGAAAGTCTGTCAAGCTCCAAGCCAGAGGCTGCCCAACTGGGTCTTGTGATAAGGAAAAGGTTATTCTGTAGTTTTCAAGCATTTCCTCCAAACGCAGAGTCTGTGCTACGTCTCTCTCCTGCAGAGTCTGGATGCATAATGATGCTGAACAGCTGAGCGTGCGCTGACCTATTTACTTTAAACAGCCTGAAATGTACATTTGGAGCTCGTGTTTTTTGGTCGCCCAGCGGGGTTCAAAAGTAACTTAAATTGACTTTAAGTCTACAAAGTAAAACCAGTTTGAATTCCCACAATTTCTGGAACTTTTAGAAAAAAAATCGTATTCAGTTTTTTAAGTTAAAAAAGAAGTGAAGCAGCTTTTGTTGTTGTTGTTGTTTAATTAAGTGCAGTTTATGATTGATGTGATATGTATGTGTTTTATTCGATCAGAGCAGAGACAGAGAGAGGGTTGTCAAGGAAACACATTATTGAAGGTGAGACATGCAAA